CTGCTCTTGATAAATTAGAGACTCCCTACTTTTGTTTTTCTTTATTTTGCATTCCTATTCTTTCCTATTGCTTCTTACAGAATTGGATACTAAGCAGCAGCAACTAGATAAATGCATGTTTGCAGACTCTCAGGACCAAAGTGTTATTCACCCTCTAACCGTTCTTGCAGAGTTAATGTCTCCTGACTGCGACTCTGTTTGGTCCCTAGGTGTTGCCTGACAGGACACATCCTCTGCTACTAATGAGCGGGGGCGGGGGCTACCTCCTCTCAGGGACGACCGTTGCCACGGACCACTCGAAACCTGCAGGCTCTAAGCAAGCTGAAGAACCAGCGCCAAAGAGACAGAAACTGGAAGACACGGAGGGATAAACAAATACAGAAGCATCAAATCGTTTTAAGGGCACATTCCCAGAGGCCTGTAGGGATTTTTTTTTTCCTCCTGTGCTGTTGAACTGATTTGACACCATCAGTAGTAAGGGGAGACCGAGTGTCTGGTTTGTATTCATCAGAACACTTTTTCCTGCCGGGTGTGCTCACATCAGTGGAGATGAGAAGTAAATTGTTAGCCAGTTAATAGTTTGTGTGTCGAGAGTAACAGCTTTGGTTTTTGTCCTGAGACAAGTAAAAGGTTTTTTTATGCTTTCCAGATTCTACGTTATAACTTTTATTTTATGTTGTTATTCTTGCAGAAAGTGCCATTTGTTTTATGGAACAGTTGCTGATGCAGCTTTACTGCGGGCTACATTTCTACCTGCACATTATTAAAAAGCAGTACTAAAAGAACCAAATGTGTGACCACTTTTGTTTTTCTTCAAGAAATAAAGGAGAGATGATGGTTTGGTCCCAGAATAACTGTTTATTGAGTGCAGTCAGAACAAACTCTGCAGAACACATTTAAGTAATTATGATCTCATATATTTATATATTGTTTTTACATTTCTCTGAATATAAACATCCAAGCCATTCCCATGCTGTTTGATTTGATAACATCAAAATATCACAAAAACGAAAAGTCAGCTAAAATGCTTTGGCAAGGCTCCAGGGTTTGTTTGTTTTTTCTTCATTTTAACACTGCAAGCACACTAAACTGGCAGACATACAGTAAAATTGCAATTTTTTTTTCAGTTATGCAGTGTTTTCATGCAACTTGGCTGCAATTTTCTGCAACTCCATATCCATCGCTGCCAGGTTCTGTAGCTCTTTCTCCTGAAAAACACAGATTAACACATTACCAACATTTCCTGCTGCAACAGCTTCACATTTGGAATAGAAATCGGGACTAAAGGATCATACATTTTCTTCTGTTTCCCATGCCACCTCATGCCTGCTTCAAATAAAATATTGTAATTGGTCATTTAGGTTAAATAGTCCCTTGTCATGCTTGTAGTTGCATTGCTGAAGAACTAATAAATCATTATGCCATCGCCTCCCTAATTTGTTTTTCTGCTTCAAAGACAGGGAGGTCTCTGTAGGCTCTAGTTCTTTTTTTTTAAATGGGTATATTATAACTTTGTTTGCTCTGAGAAGCTGCAGTCATGTGGTTCTTACTGTGATTACTGCAGCACTCATAAAAAGCTGGTGCAGGGAGAGCAAAAAAAAAAGAAGCGCTGCGAGGAAGTCAGCACGCAGATTCAAAGCAAGCCAGACGAGTCGCTGCTCATGAACGCACTGGTTAGATTCTCCTTTATGTTTTGAGGACATGCTCACAAGGGGCGGTTCTTGATGTGCATTTGCATAGATGCGTTGAGCTTTTTGAAGGATAAATCCCAGGATCACGGTGCAGGCTAGAGATGTCCCTAATGAGACGGGCTGCTTTTTCTCCTCGTGAAGCGGTGCGGTGGAGGTGTGTGATGCGCTCCGTGGTTTTACTAGGTCAGCTAAATGTGGTGCAAATAGTTTACAGAAACAGCTGCAGAGTGCAGTGTGGTTTTTATCAGATTGCGTTCTTTTGTATGAACGGACTTTTTGTAATATTAAATTACCTGTTTGTTGTCTGAACCCTTCTGGTCATCAGTATAAGTGATTTCAAGACTAATTTTCAGTCTTCATCAGTGGCATAAAACACTTTTTTTTTTGCACTTGTGAATGCAGCCTTTAGTTGTTGTTTTTTTTACCTCATGTGGTGTAAGTGCTCTCTGCTGTGAGCTCCTCATTGCCTCCTCTTGAGTAGAGTGGTTAGCCAGCTGGTTTATCTTATGGCTCAGCAACTTGGTCAGTTCATCCATCTGAACAGACAAAAAGGAAAAAAACACATTATGTGTCTACAAAAATATACAGTGAAGTAACAATCTGTTGAAAAATGTCAAAACTAAGCGCTCTTTGATGTAGCACACAGAGCAGTTATATGCAGTTGATTATCTTCAGTCAAACGTCAAAGACAACCTCGTGCTTACCTTGTTTGAGGTTGCAGTGTGTTCATCTGGATCCCTTTTAAACCAGGCTGGGTGGTAGAAGCCTCGGTAAATCCAGGGATTGCGCTTCTCAGCAAGATATCTGAAAAATGGTTAGATTTTTACCAACTTCTTCTTATTTATTCATTTTTTATGGCAGCACATGTTTCATTTGTGAGATTTGGCTTTTATTCTCTGTTCTTACAGTAATCTGCAGTATTTTGTGCTCCAGATTGCAGGCAATGAACCTGCGACACTCAACAGTAGAAGTCGTTTGATGTGAAAAAAATATTTGAAGTACCTCAAAGCTGTGTCTCTGTCCTTTGCCGCCTCCGCGTCTTCTTCCGTGAGCTCCTCATCTCGTTTGTGTTTCTTTTGGTGGTATCTGCCGGGTCTCCAGTTTCTCTTCTCTCTTCCAGTGTCAAAATCAAAGTATTCCTGGCTGCGTTCTTCATCTGGCTCCTCTCTGGCTTCTTCTGACAGCTCTTCATCTCGCTTGTGTCTCCTCTGGTGGTATCGGCCAGGTCTCCAGTCTCTCTTATCTCTTCC